ACATGAGATGATTTGTCCACTGGGTGTGGTAAAAAATAAGGTTATTTCCAAATAAAGCTGTAAAAAGCACTGAAAATAAGAGTTAACTGTCAAAACTTAGGGTCATATCACAGAACAAAACAGAAACTTACATGATATGCTTATTTGACAGTCAATTCTTGTTTTATAAAAGAGCAGGAAGTGTTGGCGTCAATACTATAAAACACTACTTCAAAAGGCTGTGGCTGGTTTCCATAACAACCATTTTGAGTAAAACTCTAGAAATTTAATTTCTCTTCTTGAGTGCAATAGCACACAATTGATCTTTCTTCACCATATTTAAACAAACTTTGTGGTCCATATTGACGGTACCATACCACCGTAAGTGTCATGTTCGCGGGTACACTTTCGTACTTCTAATTGGAAAAAGACACTGTGAGAGTAAAGTGTTTCGAGCAAGAACACAACACAAAGAACCACTGCCGGATAATGGGTATTATTAAAAACTGGATCATTGGCTTAACCATCATGGGTTGTGAGCCATTATAACATGCTCCACAAATATGGTCAGCGTAGGCGTGATTTTTTTGAGCGTTTCTATTATTCCTTTAGTCTAGTTTTCTATATTTTGAGGGCGTTTTTATAAAAAAAATACTCCACTTGCGTTTTTGGATATGAAATGATTACAACCAACTTGGCGCTACGCGCCTCGTTGGCTATCTACCTTCTCATATCCAACGCGCGCTCGTGGAATAATTGTGAATTAAACTCAGTCCTCCGGAGCAGGTTTCAGTTAGCCAATTCCTGCCTCTTTATGATATGAAGTATAATTTTTTGTTATTTCATCCACAGGCTGAGGTTCTCACTGGGACCTTGCATGAACTTTTTCAAGTTAAATCTCAACTCAAGCAACAGGGTCTTTTAACTTCAAATGGTAATCAATAGTCTATGAATTTTATTCGCAGTCTCATAACTTCTTAGATTTATTCTGCTTCGATCTTCAAGACCAAAAATACATGCACTATTAGTAATGGCAGATATCCTTATTTTCCTTTTGAGAAGATCGAACGAGGGTAGATTATTCTTGTTTTTCCTTGATGAGAAGGGTCGACCTGCAGACCTTGAATGTTTCGTTGATCCACAGCAGCCCTATAAGGTTGCCATACTCAGAGCTGCCTTATCAAAAAGTATATGTATGTATGTATGTATGTATGTATGTATGTATGTATATTTGTGACAAAAACGTTTTCTATTTGATTTAACGAGGAACAACAAGGGAGTGGCAGTGATTTTCCCTTAGCATAGGTAATCGTATGAATGCGAGGGCAATTCAGAAACTACACTACAAGTGATATTTGAAAATTCTCTCAAAATTGCTTGAGCCTTAATGCGAGTGCAATTTGAAAGAATTTACAAATATAATAAGTAGTGTAAATCTTTAACTGGTCGAGCCTTCGCGTGATTATTCAATTATTATATGACTGGGAAAATCACGAAAGCCGCGCGTTAATTTACACTGCAGTGCAAATTAAAAATTAACGAAATATTGGACTGCTCTCAGACAATCACAAAGTAATTTTCTCAGTTATATAATTACCAGTATTAAATTACTGAATAAGGTTCAGAGAAATTATCCTATGGCTATCAACTCCTTCTGTTGTAGTTCTCACATTAATTGTGTGTACAGTGTGATGCTGTTAGACAGGTGATTGCCTCACAAATATTCTGCCATTTAACTTAAGTTTGATTCTGACCTGCGATTTATACATAGCTTTAGTTTGTTGTCGCCTTTTGCCTCGCGCGAAGCTATCATTAGCATAATTATCACGCACACAGGAATGCTTCATAACTCAACTCTTTTAACAACTTTGACATTCAACGATTTTAATTCTTGATAATGATGTTGGATACATCGAAACGTCGAATAACGTTACTCCTCATATTTCTAGTTATCTTGCTTAAACAAGGAAATTTGCAATTTGTAGTCTTTCAAATTTTCAAGTGCTTATTTATTCCAAAATTCACGAGTCTAATTATGTCATTACTTGTTAACAATACACTTGAAAACATACTATTTAACGTCGTACACATTGTTTGCTTCTGAAGGCTGCAGTGTGTTTAGTATACCAATACCTTCGAAGACGTCCGAAAATATATTTGCAAAACTCCCAAAAATGTCCGAAAGTCTTCGGCGAGCTTCGGGTAATTTTCGACAAACTTCGATAATCTGCGCAAGGGGTCGGGTTATTATCGGAGGTGTTCCAAAATGATCGACTGATCAGTTCGTTGATCTTTGGAAGGGTGCGGGTGATCTTCGGAAGTGCTCGGAAAACGTCGCAAGTAACTTCGGCTATCCTCAGAAGGTTTCGGGTGAGCTTCGTCTACCTTCGGAATGCCTTGGATTACTATCTGAAGTTATGAGTGTCTTCGTACTATCTTCGGATATCTTCGTTGTAATTTGCACTGGTGTTTCAAATTTGCACTTGTGCTAGTCTCAGCTGATGATAACAGCAGTCATTTGGAAAATTACAGAAACGATGAAGTTAGTAGGTGGAAGGCGCCCGCCGTGATAGAGAACCAAGTTAGTTTTCAAAATTTTATCTTTTGCTATATATTAAAGCTCTCAAAACCAGATTTGTAGAAGTAAACCAGTTGTAATCATTCGTGGAAAAGGTTTAACGTTGTATTGTGCTGTTGATGATGTTTAATTATGTAAACTACCACAACAGCAGGCAAAATTTTAATTTATAACCAGGAATCTGTTTTATAGTTTGAAGCAGAGTTCCCTATATCATCAAGTGTTATTTGCGATCTGTTGAAGTTGATATTATTTTAAAAACTCACAGATTTTTCCCGTACCGTTTAAATTTTTTATTTGCACAACTTTACTCAACATTTTGGAAATCGCACAGGGGAAGAATCTACTTCATTCCAATCCTTCGCAAAAATTACGGCTTGTTGTTGTTATTAAAAATCTTGAACCCGAAGTCATTCAGCCGTGACCTAAAACCTTCTGCAATGTTGTACAGTGTATTTCTCATGTAACCTTGCAACAATGCTATATAATTATTTTGGGAAGTTTCTGGAAACTACAGGTGTACTTGTCTAAGAGCGTGAATTTCTTCCGTAAGAGAGCAGTGAAAATATAATGAAGCTCAGTGCTGCATGCAGCTGAGCGCTGTAATCAGAGAAGTTAAATAAACTAGATGTTCCATATTGGAAGTGAAGTGCCGCCCTATATGGAAAGATGGCAAGGGTGAGCCATGAAGATATCATAGGGATACGAGCGCACTAACCATGAGGCCACTGCACCTCCAACTGGGGGTCTAAAGTTGGTATGTGAAACTTTTATCTTAAAGTGCCCATCACCCTTACCTAATATCTTTCTTTTTCAAAAGTAGATATATAAAATAAACAAAAAAAAGTAGCGAAATAAGATTTGGAGTTAATCCCGATTTTTAAAAGCCGATCGAAATCATGGTTCTCGGAGTAAAAAACGCGCCATACGGGGGACTGGAACTAGTAAGTTGTGACGTCAACCCGGTATCTTGGCGATAACACGCAACAAAACACAACAAAGAAATATAGCGAGTTACGCGTGTTCTCCGGTTTTTCGGTCTTCTAGCTTCTTCCAAAATGTCAGACAGCGACTCTAATTCCGGAAGGAGCTACGATTCTGATGATTCAGAGTACAATTTTATCCCTGGCCACGTCAACATTGGCGATATTGAAGTCGAACACGATGAAAATTTAGGCGAAGAGCAAGTTTCCCAGCCAGACCCAGACAACTACAAACCTTATGAGGACGAGCCGATGGCAACTGAAGAGTGGCTTTCAGAATACAAGAAAAGGCAAGAAACGCAAGCGTCATACTTCAGATGGCAGGTGCCACCAAGAGGAAAGAGCAAGTCAGTAATGTGATAGGAAAATACATGCCATATGACAGGGTGCGGAAAAAAGTAACAAATTAATTTTGTGCGGAAATTTTGGGGGAAAAAATACGTTGATTATGCGGACAACACACTGGATTATGTGGAAATTTTAACAGTTAACAAAATTGATAATGAAGCTTTTTCCAATGTACCGAACAACAGTGAAACGAAAAGCACTTTAAAGTCTTACCCACACATATACTTTATCTGTTTCCAGTATTTGTTGACAGGTATTTCTTCATCTAACACAGGTTTTCCGACGAATCTTGCATGAAGAATAGGCCACGTTCCATATATCAATATTCTAACATGGTTCCGAGGCTTTCGGGTCGAAACTGTAAATTCTTTTGTCTCTCAATTGACTCAATTCCCGAAAGAGACTTGGATACAAAGAAGACAATATCAAATATAGAAGTTTGACCTGAAAGACTCGGAGTCATGTTACAATATTGATATACGGAACGTGGCCTATTCGTTGTTGCGTTGTTTAGTAACCAGGCATTACAACCAGTTTTCAGACTCCTTGCCTCAAGTAGGTTGGAACGACTGGACGTTAAAAATTCTTCACGAACGAAATGGCATGTTTTCGTCGCTGTTTTACGAGAAAAACTACTTCAAAATAATCAATCTCTTAGAACGCTTCCCTTTGCATCAACGAATATACTCCCTTCGAATGCTTGCCTTCGCATCAACGAATAAACTCAACGAACGGTCAAAGCACGAGGTCGCAGTTCATAAATTTATCAATCGCAGACTTTCTATGCAGTGGGGCCTGGAAACTGCTAACAAACAGATAACCTGAAGTCGAGTTATCAGGACAGAAATAGGAGGCAGCCCTATGCGGACAGCAACCATTTTGTCACTGTTACCGATGATTCTGAGCTCGTATGGGAGCAACCCTGCTCTGCATTGTCGAGAACCAAAGGGGCGTAAACAGAAATCTTCCTAATGTAATACAGTCACTAGTGAACATAATAGAAAGAAGGCTAACATAACAGTTTGTAAAGGGCTAGTGGATTTACACCGGAATGGGGGGAGGTTCAATTCCGTTATGATACTAGGATTCAAACACACACTCTCAACAACAACCATTAGACCAGACGGTGTTATTTGACCACGCCATCATTTGCATTTTTTATAATCTCCAATTAACAAAACCATTACATTTAACTGAAAAAATCATGTACAATTTAGCTACCTTTGCCAAATTGATAGAAACCTGTTTTAAATGTTGTCAAATTTTGTTCACAGAAGAAAACCCTCAGGCAGAATTAAGGAATTGTCACGAACAGTGGCGCTTTGAAGAGTTGCAACAGGCAAACTTGCATGGGCAGCTAGGGGAGAAAAACCAAGAGGAAGAAAACTCACAAATACCATTCAGGGAGATGGAACAACATGTGACAAGAATGGAACAACAACTGAGAGAACAAGAAAGACTATCAAGCGAAAGGGAACAACAATTGACAACTTTGCAAGGAAGATTGCGAGAAAAAGAGTTACAAGAGGTCATCTTGCGTGAGCAGCTGAGAGAAAAATACCAACAAGAAGAGAACTCACAAACACGATTGAGGGAGATGGAACAGCATGTGACAAGAATGGAACAACAACTGAGAGAGAAAGAGCATCAATTAGAAAACTCAGAAAGATTATCGAGGGAAAAGGAGCAGCACTTGGCAAATCTTCAAAGACGGTTGCTGGAAAGAGAGTCGCAAGCGGTCAGCCTACAACAACAAATGACAGAACAATCAAGCCGGGTCATAGAACAGCAGAGAATGGAACAACGACTGGGAGAGAAACACACTGCATTAGAGAGGCTATTTGAGGAAAAAGCGTTGCAAAACATCAACCTGTGTAAACAGCTGAGGGATGAACGCCGACGACAAGAAAACTCAGAAAGACATTTGAGGGAGTTGGAACAGCAGCTAAGAGAAAAAGACGAACACGAAGGGAATTTACAGAGTCGACTAAGAGAAATGGAACAACAGTGGAGAGGGAAAGACGAACAAAAGGAGAATTTACAGGGACAACTAAGAGAGATGGAACAACAGTTGGAAAACTTACAAAGACAATATAATGATAAAGAAGGCGAAAAGGTTCACCTAGTGGAACAAGTTACAACACTAGAGGGACAGTTGAGAACAAAAGAACAGGAAGTGAATGAATTGGAGATAAGTCTGTCAACAGCTCAGCAAGCACTAAGTGATCATCAACGCCAACAATCCACACCTGATTGGGTCATTTCCCGTGATCAAATCCAACTGACAGATACCATCCTCGGTATTGGAGGCTGGGGAAGTGTTGTCGAGGGCAAGTACTGTGGCTGTGCAGTAGCTGTAAAACAAATCCATGATTTGATTCTTTCTCCACACAACCGTAATCTGTTTGAACGAGAAATGGACATTGCTTCAAGATGCCGCCATCCTTGTTTGCTTCAATTCATTGGAGCCACTCATCACGAGGGAAGTCCTTTGTTTGTAACAGAGCTTATGGAGTCAAGTCTACGAGCATTGTTAGAGCAGAGACCACTCACTGCGACAGAATTGTCAATTTTATCTCTTGATATATCTCAAGCGTTAAGCTACCTTCACCAAAAGAAACCTTCTCCGATTATTCATCGTGACATCAGCAGTGCTAATGTGTTACTATGGCGACAGGGTGACCAATGGCGAGGCAAAGTGTCAGATTATGGTACTGCCAACTTTATGCAACATACCATGACAGTTGGCCCTGGAGCTACGATTTACATGGCTCCTGAAGCACGCACTTCATATCAAACAGTCAAGGTTAGCTACGAGTTACTTTAAGATATATTCCTTTCAGTTTGCCATGTTTCAGTTTAAGATGTATGTATGCTGTGGTTTAATATTGCCCTTGGTAAAATTTGGTATTTTCCTTCGTTCTACGCACATTAATTATAACATGTTGGCATACACCGGTCAAAAGGAAAGTACCAAATTGTACCAAGGGTAATATTAAACCACGACATATACCTTCACTCGGCAAACTGAATCTGAATCTGAATAGAATACTAAGTAAATGATTAACTACTTAATAACCGAGAGTGAGGTCGTTACGGGAAAATCTGAAACTGAGGTCTTGCCGTATTGACCGAGCGATAGCGAGGTCAATACGGTAGCCCGAGGTTTGAGATTTTCCCGTAACGACCAAACGGTCGAGGTTATTAAGTTGTTTATTATATGGCTCATGAATTAAAGAAAAGAAAAAAATTATTCGAGCGGAAGTCGTCAAATTACATCCGGCGATGCGCGCGTTTACCGATTCATTCATCGTCTCAAACCCAGTGCAAAACTACACAGTCAGTGGACTTCACCGCTGTATTACGTATTCCGTTAAAAACACACATTTCTTTACGGGAAAAGTGATTGTCACAGCCTCAAAGATGTATTTTAGTATCGTGGTGCCACAAGTTGATGGGGGAGTTTTTCCGACTTTTGTGGCGAAACGTCAACGCATATAGAAAAGACACAAAGTGCTTCAAAATAGTTCAAACCAACTAATGCTNTGGTGCCACAAGTTGATGGGGGAGTTTTTCCGACTTTTGTGGCGAAACGTCAACGCATATAGAAAAGACACAAAGTGCTTCAAAATAGTTCAAACCAACTAATGCTTCAGAATGAATTGCTCAGAACAACTCGATCTTCGCATTCACTTTCAACAACATATCTTCGGCTTCTTCATTCTGGGATTTATGGATGAACTTTTCAAGCCTTGTGAACGTCTAAAACTTCCTGCAGTTATCAGAAATACTGCTACCGACAGAAACCGCCCGATTGTTGACATCTGATGATCCTGGAAGCTGATTTACACTTGCTTGTGTTAAAGCGAGGGAATCTATTCGATGAGAATTGTGACGGAGTTCAATATTTCGGTAATTGTTGTGACTAAGATGATAACTTATACCTTTCTTCGTGATGTTCTGCTCAGGACGCATGACAGATCTGCCGATGGTGTTTTTCACTAAGCGATTTTAACTTTACTTAAGACTCGGCAAACTTTGATTGTTTTTCACTAGTGTCCGGCTGGAAAGTCAAAAACGACTTCTATATAAATTTTATTAAGGAAAAATCGCTAAACTTTTAGCTACTTACTTTCTCTTACTGTTTTTAATCGGCTTTCATCGTTTCAATGCGCTTGAATTTTCCGAGCAGGGCTCTTCCTAATTTGCATAATCCGTAATCGGCCCGTGGGCATTACGGCTGCATAATGAACGCTCAGCTCGCAACTGAGGTTATTGCGCTCTTAGCCAATCAGAGCGCGCGCTATATCGACCACAAGCCAAAGCCATATAATAACACTCCCATAATAAACATCAAGAGGTATCAAAGCTAATCAATCTAGAAATAGGCTATATTTGTATTCTCGGTATTGGACCGGAACTAGCTTGCAATATAGACTCATGTGGAGAAATATCATCGAAAGAAAATTAATTTAATTTGCATTTGCAAACACTCCCCGCAGTAGCCTCAATTGCGAGCTAGCTCCAGTGAAATACCAAGAATACGAATATGGCCTATTACTCTGCGTGTTAGTCAAGTAAATGACTTCAGTGAGGTATTGTATCTTTATTTTATTAATTATACCTTTTTTAAGGTTGACGTGTACAGTTTCGGCGTTCTGCTCTGTGAAATGTGCATCCAGGAATTACCAGATCCTGAAAGGCGTGGTCAGCAAATTGCGATGGTCACAAACCGTCAGCTTCGTGCCCTTATACGGAGATGTGTACAACAAGAACCTGCGGCGAGACCAAATATGGAAGAGATTATTGAAGAACTTGAAGAACCAGTTCAATAGCGTATGATATAGCTACATTAGAATTCTCGATCTACATTAAAGTTAAATTATCTTTCCAATATGTATTTCGGGACCAGTTGTCATCAGAAATGGAATAACTAAGGGCTAGATTTCAGATTTTTCAGATTTCTTTTCTATTATTTTAAACAATCAGTCAATCAGTTAATAAATATTACATGATAATGGCTGATTGCTAAAGCGGCCTGAATAGAATTGATTTCCATTTGAGTGAAACAGTGACGGTTTCTAACTGTAATTGCAGACAATTATAGACAATTGGATTAAATCCTTTTTTAAACCCTGGAAGGATTTCATTATTTCGAACCCATGCTTAAGAAAACTGTCATTTTGTTTTCTTTTTGTCTCTCACGGAGAACGAAGATTGAGATAATTATCCCAACATAGCTCTTCGAAGGATACCGGGTAGCATTTTTATATGTATGAAAACCTAAAGTGTAAGATGGTTTTCGCACGAAAATGCATCTGGGCTTTTTATCATCTATTTACCCAAACAAATAGGTAATTCTAGGTAGGTGTAAAGCTGGGTAGGGCTGCTTATAGAAATGAACCGAGGGAATTGTTTTTGTACTGAGACCTTTAAATGAAGAAATAAGTTACTTTCACATAAATTTCAATTTTAGTCCGAATAGCTGTTAATAGAGAAAAAGATGGTGCAAAAAGTGAGTAATCTCTCATCATTTAATTTTATGAGGATTCGTAAGCAATTTACTGAAATATATTTTCCGTGATGTCAGTTATACTCTGATTGGCTGATTAATAACACTATATTAGTACTTATAAAGTAAGAATACCTTATATTGTTTCATGAGCTTTTGAAGAATGCATAGCAGGCAGTGTAGCTCGTTTAAGGTGAACTTTTGTTAATCCGTGAATACCGCCAGGGAGTCTTGAAAGATTTTCTGTTGACTGCTTAGTAAGCGATCATCTTCTGCCTTTCAAGTTGTTTCATTTTTATACAAATTTTGCCTCTTTGGAGGATTTCTACAGCATTAAGATAATGGTCTTTGTTTCAAGATTTCTGAGAATCCCCCACCCAACATTACAACACTATTAAGCACTATTTTCTGGGTCTGGGTTTCTTTTCTTGTGCTTTCACTTTTTTATAAAAATAACTTTATGTTTCGACTCCAAAGAAGACACACCGCTAATGGCTCTAATTAATATTCTCAGCTCATTACATGACGGTAGCGAGCTCAGTTTGATGAATGGAGACAACAACCCTGCTGCGATTAATTTGCCTCGATTGTGGCTTTTACTCTTGCGTAACGAAAAACTTATCCTGTCACTACATGAAGTGATGACAGCAATAACCACCTACGAGCAGCGACGTTTACACTAGGGCGGCTAGGAGTAAAGAGAGGACCTCTCTTTGGCGACACACCTTTACATAGGAATCTGATATAGCCCATAAAGCCAATTGTTCTCCGCCAAACAGATATCCTTAACAATTACCCTTTCTCGTCTTACATAAACCTAATTATGCATGCCGCATAATTGGTGGCTTTTAAATAGCTAATAGAGGAAAACTCGAAAACCTTACGGTCCTTTTAGCTAAGCTAAGCTCCTTTTTTTAAATAATTACTTTCTTTTTATCTTCTTAATCAACTTCTAATGTACTAAATATCTTCCATGTAAACGTTTTTCCAAGTCAATAAAGATTATTGTTATTGTTATTGTTATTGTTATTGTTGTTGATCGAGACCTAGCTTAATCAGCAAACCATAGGCGTCCACTAGGTTTGTTTCCGAATGAAATGGTTACCAAATTAAAAGTTGCGCGTTTTTTAGCTGGCTGTGTATCAGTCTTTTGCTGCATAATCGCCTCTGTATTTTTGGTTATAGATGCTCGGACTTACAGAAATATTTTGATGGTCGTTCTGGCTTAGCCAGTGTGCTTTCAACGCCATTTTGTGTGAACAGATTAACTGTTTTTAATGATAAATCTCACATTTTTCCTTGAAAAGCAAGTTCTGATAACACAAAATTCTCAGAACTTGCGTCTCAAGAAAAAGTGAGAGATTTATTAAAAACAGTTAATCTGACTTCACAAAACGCTGAGAATTTTTGGGATGTTAGTCCAAAGAATACTTTTGCTTTTCATAGAGTTAATTTTATAATGCTTCTCAGTTTTACAAATTTTCTCGTTTTTTGTCCTCTGGTACCCGATAAGATGCAACCTTTTGCAAAGTTTAAAAAGACAATGTTCAGGGACTTCAGAACCACCTTAAAGTTTCGAAGAATTTCAAGTGGCTCTGAACCCCTGGACATAATGTTTTAAAGATCTTTAATGATATGTCACATTTTTCTGTCGTTGAATTCCACTCAAACGAACGAAGAACTTTCTTTCGCACCGCTCTCGCCCAGCATCGAACGTTTGACTTCCCATAACATGGATTTTTACCTCTAAAGGGTACGACAAGCTTCTCTATCACTTTTATAGTGGAATTGCCCCGTGGGGCTATTGGCCTCCAAACGTATTCTCGGAAGCTAAGTGAGCCCACCACAACAAGGCTTTTGAGCAAATGAAAGCCCCGGGCATGAAAAGAGAATTTTGTGGTTTGCCTGTATCGTCTCAGCTCATTAATGAATATTATTATTATTATTATCATCATCATCATCATTATTATTATTATTATTATTATTATTATTATTATCAAGCATGTTAAGGCATGGCTCTAGCGTAATTTGCCTAAAAACCCGAAAAACAGTAATTACTCTGCCAGGATTTGGTTTATCTTTGCAGAACTAGCAGCCTAAGCAATCTTGACGACTATAATATTGTAAGACCAATAAAATCTGATGAAATATGTCACGTTACTACAATTAATTGCATTTTTTTTGAGAAGCAACTGAAAATGGGCCACCGAGATGACATACAATCACCGTCAAGTTTGGTATTTTCGTGCTAACGACCCCTGCAAGAATCTGTCCTGAATGGCCGACTAAAATATCTAGTTTAGAAGTTATTACCTAAAAGAGGTCACCTGACCTTCTGTATATCCGTATGTACCCTAAATAATTGAGGAGTTCATCCATTCAGGGCAGAAATAGTTGCTTTAGAAAGTGGTTAAAAATTTCTTATGGTTAGTTTTTCGCGATCCGCGCGCACCTATATATAGATGATATGGGACAATTTTGACTTCAATTTCGCGCTGTGAATGAATAATAAGCTTATGCGCTAGTTGTACGCGTAAGCTTTTGCGTTTGTTCTGTAAAGAATAGTTAACTTCTGTAAGAAAACAATCTACTTTGGTTTCGAGTTAATTTGCGAGTTTCTCAAATCATAACCAAAACCTGTTTTTGATAGTTTCTTATTGTTTCTGCTTGTTTGGCGAGTTTGCAAAAGTTTTTGAAAGTTAAGTCTTACGCGTATAAGTACTTCATTTGCATAGTGCAGCCTGCA